ATACTTTTTAGTAACATATCCATGGCCTGCACTTTGTAGTGTTTATCGTTATGAAACTTTAGCATCTTAGTCAATATGGTGAATAGCATTTATCCTTTAAAAAATATTTTCATGTGTTTCCTTTTCAGAACCGAGAGCTTCAAATCATGAGAAAGCTAGATCACTGTAACATAGTCCGATTGCGTTATTTCTTCTACTCAAGTGGTGAGAAGGTAGGTCTTGCAGAAAGTGTGTACTGTGTACTTAATATTGTGATAGACTTGTTATTCTAAAAACAGTCTTTGTTTTGCACCCCATCCCCCACCCTGGCCCAATGAGTGAAACAGTTTTGCTGATATTAAATGGAAGAATTCTGAAACACAAGCCCTAGTAATCCTAAACTCAAGACATAATCATTGACTATCATTAGTTATATCAGAAAATGTTAATGAAATGATAAAGGGAATGATTTTTTAAGAATTTTCTTTTTTGGAACATTTGTCTTTAGTTCATTATACACACATGTATATTTTAAACCTTCTGTGTTCTTTATGTGCTCCTGGAGCTGCATGATAGTTCCACTTGTTTATTAGAGGGTGGAAAATGATGTCATTTTGTTAAGTGGAAGTATTGTAGGGAAAGGGGAACCAGGAGGACTTTAGTAGGACCAGAATGAGACTTCAACATTGGGAGGCATATTTAACCTATCCTTGGTGAGGGAAAAAGTTAGAAAGGTACAGTATTACAGAACTTGTGATACTTGGTCACTCTTTATGATTGCATTTAATTTTGTGAAAGCAAAGGTTAATTTGAGAAGACAGTGTGTTATGAATACCCAACCCTTTTGGTGTTTCTCTTCAAATAATAATGATGTCATTGTATTCACTGGAGTTGGAAGCACAGAAAATTTGTCTCTTCTATTTTACCTTCTTCCTTCTGCCTATTCACTGTCCTTTCTTCCCAGATTCCATTTTTCCCCTTATATTTCTACTGGTTTGTGGTGAGGGGGCAGGGCAAATAACAAACCACTTAATCTTTTTAGCTAAATAAATATGACTTTGGATTGGTTCATTTGATATTTTGGACCTCAAATTTCTGGCACATACTATCTAAAGTTCCTAGATCTATAATCCCTCTTGATTACTAAGCCCAGTGTTCTTTTTACTTCATGTAACTATTTCCCAGTGTACCAGGGTTTAATCGTTTTCCATTAACTTTTATTTATTTAGGTTATTTCCTTAGTTCTTTTTTTCATGACAGAGCCTATACTATGGGAAGATGTCTGTGTATTAAGCAAACATTATGATATATATCCTGTAGATACATAAATGTTATATATTTGTGTGTATTTGTGTCAGTAACAGCTAATGTTTTAGCAACAATTAATAACAGATTGGTTCTGTAGGTGACTTTTGTTTCTCTGGTGCTTGTATTAGGGACTGTAAGCCCTTATAAGTATTTGAGCTCTCTTGTTTCTAAAGCCAATTATGAGGTTCATGCCACTTTTTTTTTTTTAAACCTCGCAAACTGCCTGTTATGTCTTTAATCTTATCTGTTTTGACATGTCTTTACTTTTTCCTGGCCCTTCCCAAATAAAATTATGGAACAGCACTCTTACAATGGAATTTTGCATCCTCATGACTTTTTGTTGTTAGATGCTGGACATTATAATACCCCAGGGAGCAAAGTAAAGGTCAGAATTATTTGCTCCATGAACACTGGATTACATGTAGATTCGTTTCCAAAAGCCTCCTAACAAAACCCCTAAACATTTTCTCCTAATTACTTTATTAGCTGTCCCCTATATGTCAGATACTGTTTTTAGGACTTTACAAATACTAACTCATTTAATGCTTACAAAGATAAAGAGCAGAAAAGGAAGAATATCAAACTTTTGAATATAAGACTGTATTTGTGGTGGCATCAAAAGGCTTACCTATCTGGTTTTGGTCTGGTGAAAACCCTGATCACAGTTTGCTCTCACCCTCACTTAATCCTGCCTTGGTAGTAGTGACAGTGGACTGCTATCTGTGTACCCCAGAGGATGATTTTCCTCCCTGTTGCTGTTTAGAGCTGCTTATTATCAAAAATGGTCTTGCAGATAAAGACCAATTGAAAAGTCATTAAGGGAGGTTAAACAGAAGGACACTGAACCTCTATTATAAAAAGGAAATATACTTTATAATGTTTTATTTATCTCAGAACTTTCTCTTGAACATTGTAAATTTTCCAAAATGAAAAAAAGATTCCTCTTAATTTTGGATAGCTTCATTAACAAAACAGAAAGAAAGAAAGGTTGTGATATATTGCTGAAAATAATTACCCTTCCTTAACAAAAGAGAAGGTCTTCTGAAGATATGCAGAAATACACAGATGCAGGACCTCCCATGATCTTCTAGCTACCGAAAAGGTGATTTCTTCTTGCTCTCCTCACCATCTCCACTTCTGTTCTTCTGAATTGTTCTGCAGGGCTAACATTACTCAAGAGACCAGGTAATAAACTAATATGTCCCATTTGGAAGACAGATTCTGCTCTAGGGTTGAGAGCTCAGGTTTGTGTTGTTGTTAAATATTTATTTATTTTGAGCGAGAGAGGAGAGAGTGCTAATTGGGGAGGGCCAGAGAGGGAAAGAGAGAATCTGAAGCAGCCTCCACACTCAGCACAGAGCCCGAGGCAGGTCTCAGTCCCACAAACTATGAGATTATGACTTGAGGTGAAATCAAAAGTCAGACATTTAACCAACCGAGCCACCCAGGTGCCCCAAGAGCTCAGGTTTGTTATTATCAGTTGTGACTGTCCAAGCGTAGGTTACTTAGAGTGAACTTAGAGCTATAGTTGTAGAAGGGGATCTAAATGTCTTAGGAAATTCTTACAGATCTTTAAAGATGATTTCTGTCTGAATAGGAGCATGGTATACTGCCTCTGTATGTGTATATATATATGAGAACAATTTGCGGGGAGGAAATAGTAAATTAATAGTTTGAGATGTCTCTGGGACAAGCAAGTAGAAATGCCCATTAGACAGATACACGTATGACTTTACATGTGGTGGTGGTGATGACAGGGAGTGGGGTGCTAAGTGGAGAAATGATAATGACAAAGTTCGGTTGATAGAGTTGTGTGGCCGTGTGATAGAGCTCTTAGGACTTCTGGAAGGAGGGAGAGGGGATGTTTGGGACCAGCACAGTGACGAGCCAGCGGTTTGCCAAGTATTGCCTTCTGGTCCTGGAGTGTGTTGAGGATGAGAAGTCTTCATTTGAGAGAACTAGAAGGAAACCACTGCCTTTGGATGGGATCCAGGAAAAAAAAAGTATAGAAAACCTCCACGAAGAGACTGGGGTTCAAAAGAGTTCCTTTTTGGGGTTTCAGGGAGCTTAGGGGACCGTATGGACATGAGATTAGTGGTCAGGGCAGGAGCCCTGAGGAAATGTGGGGAGGCAATTAGGGGGATGATTTTAGAAATTTTGAGGATGAGAAAGAGCAGAATTCAGTGTTTCAAGATTATAAGGATAAAAGATTTAGTTGATGTATGAGTTCAGACGTATATGAGAATATTATGTGATCTTCTCATTGTCATTATCTCTCTCCCTTTTTACCATTTTCTGTCTCCTCTGTGCATTTTGTCTCACTTCTCTTTAGTCTCCTCAGTCTAGTTTCTGGGTTTCTGCTCCTTTCACTCTGGGTTCTGAGTCTCTGTCTTTTGGTCTCTGGGCTTCTGTCCCTCCTTGGTCTATGTCACCCTCTCAGATTTCTTTTCACTCTTTAACTCTGGTGTCTGTCTATTGCTCTCTCTCGGTTACTCCCTCTGTGGATTTCAGCCTCATTCTCTGGGTTTCTGTACTCTTATTTCATTGGGTTTCTACCTATCTTTCATTGAATGTCTGATCCTTCTGAATCTTTATATAGATTCTCCTCTTTCCTGAGCAGCCTTCATTCTCTTTCTTGGTGTCTTTTCTCTTTGAGCTCTGTTACTCATTTTGGGGAAAATTTGAGAGAAAAAATTTTCACTTCCTATCCTGACTTTTTTTTGGTGGAGTTTTTGTTGTTTTGTATTTGGAAAAATGATCATGCTCTGGTGCCTACAAGGCCCATGTAGAACAATAGCAACTAAAAGGTAACATAAAAGTAAATATTTGCATTTATTGCTTTCACAAAGCAAAAATTATCACATTAGTAAGGGTTCTCTTCATATCTCTAATTGATACTGGTCTTCTATTTGCTCAGACCTTGCATTTCTGAAAGAACAAGGCCAAGCTGTTGATTTATCACTAAACAGACTCTAATTAAGGAAGTATTATTTTTCTCAGTTGTATGTGATATGAAGCTGAAATTTTGGTCCTAAACAGGGAGTGACTGGGGTAACTAAAGGAGGCAGTATGGTCTGGGAAGGCTCAATATGGAAATATAACTGTGCTAATAAGCAGTGGACCCCAAAGCCCAGTGCTAGAAGGACTTTCTAGAAGGAACTGTATGAAATGCACTTAAAACTTGAATTCTCTATTTCTATTCAGAGTTCCTGTGCCTTAGGTTATGTTTGGGAGAAGAATCTTGTAAAACACTGCAGCATTATATATAAGGAATAGGTATCATGGTCCAGGAAGCATCATGTTCAAGCTACCAGCATCTAGAATGGAAAAAAAAATCCTATGGGAAAAACAGTATTATTAAAGACGTCCTAGCACTGCAATGTTAAGGTGATCAGCATCATTTCAGATGATTCCAGTGATATCAAAACTTTTTTACTAGTCTTTTGTATGCCATGTTATCAGATTGTATGCATAGAATTCCTATTAAAATAGCGTTTCGGTAACTTTAAGCATGATATATGCTTGGGATCCAAGTGGCAGAGATCACTCACTTAGGCCACACATCTTGTTTAGAGCCAGATGGTGCCTGCAAGATCATCTCACCACCTACCTCATTTTGTTCTTGGGCAAAGAGGTACCCAGCATGGCTGGTGGTGTATCAGTGTCATCCAACCAGCCAGTTTGTGGGAGTCAGGATCAGAAGGTGGCTTCCCTAGTGTTATAGCTCTTTTAGAATTTGTCTAGCAGGTTTTCCAGCCCTTACCAGAAAACACCCCCTCCCCCCCCCAACAAAGAAAAGTGTGGCTCCCCAAAGCCAGGGCAACACTACTTCTCTGAACATAAGTACTATCCTGACTTTTGACTTCTCCATCTTTACATATCTTATTCTACTTGTACATGTTTTACAAAATTGTATGAATAATTATTTATAAACTTATTAAATATTGGCAATCTGATTATATTTCTAGTTATTGGTTATATATTATGTGTTCCGAATTGTTGAACTGCATAACACTCCTAACTACTCCCACATTGTTATTTTTAATTTTAAAATTGTAGCTAAGCTACCTCAGAGCTTCATCATAATTTTTGTCTATAAGCACCCTTTAGCTCTGGATGAAGTTAGAGTAGGGTTGCTGTAATATTTGCCAGATATTTCCACTGATCACAGTTTGACTGGAAGATTGTATCTATTTTGGTGAACTTGTCTTTATTTTGTTCTACTCTGCCATTTTAAAGAATAATTTTCTTTAGGGATTATAAATAATCAGCTTTTAGCATATAACTGAGGAGTAACCAGGATGACTAAAAGAAGGAGGAATTAAGTCAGAACAGAGGCCAGAGATATGACTTAATTAGTCTTAGTTGTAGTCTTTTGGTTGGAATTACTGGTGTTTGCTGTAGTGACTAGAGCATCATATAGTCAGTTAGTATACTTTAGATTACCCATTAGGTTTTAGTAACTCTGATTTAGTTTAGAAAAAGTAACATTCTCTCCTTGACAAGAGAAAAAATGGGATTTTTGAATGTTTTGAAAGTCTGGCTTATGATACTTTTGTGAATTCTGAATATTCTAGAGAATGGTGTTTGGTTTTTTTTCAGTATCAGTATTTGGTAGTAGAAACTCCTTTCCCCCAAATAAAATTTTATGAAGAACCCCCATTCTATAAATAGAACAGATAAAAAGCAAAATTGCTTTGGTTCAAACTGGGGACTGGCTGACTTTGCTTTTCCTGAGTTGCAGCTCACCGCAGTAGAGAAGCCTTAAATTTTTTTACATTAATTTTTAAGAAAAATTTCTACAAGTAACCTTACGTGTGAAAATGTTTTAGCTGTGTGCATCGTAGATTGATTATTTGGATAATAAAGAAATTGCCTTCCTTAAAATAAAACTCGCCCGCTACTTGTATTAGTGGCAGTTTAAATAGCAAGGATGACAAATTGATTTCATTCCTCATACCAACTTTGTTCTATTGATAGTAACTGTGTAGAGGGTTGTGTGCAGAAGATTCTACCACTGCTTTTGGGATCAGAGAAGAATGCTGTGCTTGATTATGCCTGTTTGTCACTAGCCCTGGAGAGGAAAGGATAGGAGTGAATCTGTTCTGAAAATGGAAGAGCACTAGCTAGATTTGCATCCCAGTTCTGCCACTTGATAGCAATATGATTGGGCAGGATATTTACCTTAGTAAGCCTTTTTCCCCTTCTCATCTGTACAGTAGGGTTTAGGTTTTTTAATTTTTTATTTATTTATGAGAGAGAGAGATAGTATGAGCAGGGGAGGGTCAGAGAGAGGAGGAGACACAGAATCTGAAGCAGGCTCCGGGCTCTGAGCTAGCTGTCAGCACAGAGCCTGACGCGGGGCTCAAACCCACAAACCATGAGATCATGACCTGATCCAAAGTCAGAAGCTTAACCGACTGAGCCACACAGGCGCCCCCAGTAGGGATTTTTAAAGAAAAAAGTGTGATACTGTTTAAGTGCTTATCATTAGCACTTGGGATATAATTAACACTTAATAAACATTAATTTACTATTTTATAAATTATTGTTTAATAATAGCAAATATATATTTTACTTGCTCTGCATCAGATATTGCTGTAAGCACTTTACATGTACTTTGTAATTCACTTAAACTTTACAGCAACCCAGTGAAGAATGGGTACAGTTATTACTTCCCATTTTATGGAAGAAGAAACTGAGGCAATTGCAGTTAAGTTACCTGAGAGTCCTGCAGCTACTGAGTGGCAGAGTTAGAAGTCAACTCTAGGAAGTCTGTCTCCAGGGTCCATATAGTACTTACCATAGAATGTACATTTCTCTAGGAGCAGTGTATTAGAAATGTAACATTTAAAAATATCTCAGTAATTACTGCTAAACAAGGAAAGGTTATATAGTGTCTACTTTGGAGAATTTTTAGAAAAGAATAAATAGCCTTTTGTTCTATGACAGTAATAGTAGCAGCAGTGATAATAATATCCAAAATTTACGTGGTGCTTACTGTAAACCAGACACCAGGCATTATTCTAAACACTTAAGCTCATGTTTTTTTGGAAGAGCTTCTGAAGAATTGTTGTTAAATCTTTAAATGTATGTTAGAATTCACCACTGAAACCGTCTGGTCCTGGACTTTACTTTTTGGGCAGTTTTTGATTACTGACTGATTCAATTTCTACTTGTTCTCTAAGTTTGTTGAGGGTTTGTATTTCATTTGAGTTAAATATTTGGTGTGTTCCCCTCAATTTATTGATTACATCTAGGTTATCTAATTTGTCGGCACACACTTGTTCATAGTATTCTGCTATTCTGTTCTTTTTATTTTGTAAAGTCAGTAGTAATGTTCTCACTTTCAGTTCTGATTTTAGTTATTTGTCTTCTCTTTTATGTCAGTCTCGCTAAAGTGTGTCAATTTTTTGATCTTTTCCAAGAATTACCTTTTGATTTTCTTGAACCCCTTTTGGTGGTGGTATTCTCTATTAATTAGCGGTCTAATCTTTATTATTTCTTTCCTTTAGCCAGTTTCACGTTTAGTTTCTTCCTCTTTTCTAATTCTTCAGGATGTAAAGTTAGACTATTCTTCTGTTTTGAGATATAAATCTTGATTGGTAGGTAGAAAGATAGGTAGGTAGGTAGATAGATAGATAGATAGGTATCCTTTTGGTTTATAATGTTCAAATCTTGTATTTCTCTATTGCTCTTCTATCGAGATGTGCTGTCCATTGTTGAAAGTGGTGTAGTAAAGTCTCCAGTTATTGTACAATTGTCCATTTCTTCTTTCAATTCTTTCATTGTTTATATGTTCGATTGTTGTTGGTACATATATGTGTATAATAATTACATCTAATTGATGAATTGACCTTTTTATCAAAATGTAATGTCTTGGGGCACCTGGGTGGCTCAGTCGGTTGAGCATCAAACTTCAGCTAAGGTCATGATCTCACAGTGTGTGGGTTTGAGCCCCGCATCAGGCTCTGTGCTGACAGCTAGCTCAGAGCCTGAAGCCTGTTTCAGATTCTGTATCTCCCTCTCTCTCTGACCCTCCCCTGCTCATGCTTTCTCTCTTATTTCTCTCTCTCTCTCTCTCTCTCTCAGAAATAAATAAAACATAAAAAATATTTTTAAAACAAAACAAAAAAAGTAATGTCTTGGATGCCTTTTGTTTTCTTTTCCTTGCCACTGCCCTGGCTAGAACCTCCTCCACGATAATAGTTGAGAAGATATGAAAGCAGACATCCTTATTTTGTTCCTGATTTTAGAGGAGACATAGTAGTCTTTAAGTAGACTGTGGGTTTTTTGTAGCTGTCATTTATCACATTTAAGGAAGTTCCCTTCTAATCCTAGTTTGTTGAGCATTTCATGAAATGTTGGATTTTCTCAAATGCTCTTTTCTCCCTCCATCTGTTAAAATGATTATATGTTTGTCTTTCATTCTATTACTGTGGTGTTTTATGTTAATTTTTTGAATGCTAAACCTTCATGGCATTTCTGAAATTAATCCCATTTGGTCATGGTATCTTATCATTTTATATATTGCTGAATAGTACTTTTTAGGGGAGTTTTGCATCTTTGTTCATACGAGATATTGATTAGTAGTCTTGTGTATGTCTGTCTTGACCCCTACCTTGTGATGGTTTTGGTATCAGGGTAACACTGGCCTCATAATATGAGTTGGGAAGTGTTTTCCTCTTCTATTTTTGTGAAGATTTTGTGAAGAACTGGTATTAATTCTTCCTAGAGAGCTTGGTAGTTTTCTCCATTAAATCTGTCTATACACCTGGGCACTTTTTGTGGGAAGTTTTAAAATTACTAATTCAATTTATTTACTTGTAATGGTGTATTTAGATTTTCTATTTTTTTCTTTTGTCCCACTTTGGTAATTTGTTCATTTCTTCTAAGTTATCTATCTTATTTATTGACATAGTTATTCATATTTTTCCCTCAATTTTTAAAAAAAAATCTGTAGGTTAGCTGTGATGCCCCTTCTTTCATTCCTGATTTCATAATTTTGTGTGTTTTTCCTTGGTCAGTCTAGCTAAAGGTTCATCAATTTTCTTGATTTTTTTTTTTTTATTGAATCAATTGATTCCATTGATTTAGTTTCTTTGATTTTTTTCAATTGCTTTTTTCTAGTTCATGTATTCCTGTTCTCTTTATTATTTCCCTTCTGCAGCTTGCTATGGGCTTATCCACCCCACTCCACCCCCCGCTTTTTTTTCTAGTTTCTTAAAATAGAGAAGTTAAGTTTCTTGATTTGAGATCTTTTTAATGGCACTGGTTATAGGTTGTGATTTGAGTTCCCTTAGCAAGTTATATTTTTATCCTTTACCATTGGATATGTGAGTGGCTTGAGTGCTGCTTTCAGAGTTCAGGGAGTGCGTATTTACCACAAGTTGAACCAGATACTAGTAGCGTGGAATTTCCCCTCTGATTGTTCCTGAAAGGTGCAACCTTGGACATTCATGGCCTTTCTGACTACCAAGGATGAATGTGATTTTACTTCCTGGAAGTTACTCTTGGGTCAGAGTAGCTTATTGTTCATTCAGTGTTTGACCTGAGGTTGCTTATGAGCTCCTTGTGCCAGTAATGCTTTTACTGTGTGTTGATGTATCTTTGTGCAACTTGGGGAATGCTTCAAGTCTCCCTCACATTCTGCACAGCTGAGAACCTATGCATATCATTATTGACCTCCAGACAGGACTGATGCCAAGTAGGCTCTTTTTGGCTCTCTCTTGTTTCCATTCAACTTCTGTTGCTTTGCTTTTTTGCTTGTGTCAGGG